GTAAAAAGGGCGGGGTTCGAGCCCATGTCGAGAGGCAAATGTGCGAGAGTTGAGCACATGATGTTTGGTGAATGAGGTGATAGACAACGACAAATCGACAGGCAGCCTACCCCACATGAACAGCTGAAGGCGAGTAGTCCTCGACTTGTTGACCTGTCTGTTGGTGCGAAGGTTGTTCCAACCGCTGTCCCTCCAAACAGTCGCTATTCAACGCAGTAGCCGTCGCCGTTGTCATCTCTACCGACAACGACGTCGACGAATACGACGACGAAGACGATGGCGGTGGACGGTACTGTTGAAGAGGCTGGTTGTCAAGTGGGCGGCACAGGATGAGATTGGTGGGTGACGAGTCACTCGAGGCCGGATGGCCAACGGCGAGGATGTCAAGCGGCGAGGGCGAGACAGCGACGTTGACATCGCAAGCAGACAACTTGGCCAGAGGCGTGACTGGAGACGGCGAGTGTGATTGCAACTGCGACTGGAAGCGCGACGGCGAAGGCGATTGCGACAGTGACGGCGAAGCCAATGGCAACGGCAAAGGCGACGGCGACGGTGCCGATGGAGCGTCGAGCGGGACAAGGCTGGAGCGAATCTCGGCGAGATTGAGTGGTCGGCCAGCCTCGGGAGGGGATCGAGAAGAGCCAGAGCAGATAGGCGCTGTTGAGGTGTGGGCAAAAGAGAACGGTGGAGTAGCAGAGAAATGGAAAAATGAGTGAATTAGGAGTGGAGAAATTGAAGAAATTTAGGAATAGAGAAAAAGAAAGAAATAAAAAACTGGAGAAATGTACAGGTAAATACATGAAGAAATGGGAAAATACAAAATCATAATAGGACATAAGTGTAAAATGGATAATTAGAGAATAAAAGTAGTATATAATTGGAGAAGTGGAGAGATGGAGTAGAGAAATGGTGAAATTTAAGAAATTTAATAATAGAGAAAGAGAAATAAATAGAAAACTGGAGCAATATACAAGTAAATACATGAATAAATGGGAAAATATAAAATTATATAAGGATATAAGTGTAAAATGGATAATTAGAGAATAAAAGTAGTATATAATTGGACAAGTGGAGAAACGGAGTAGTAAAAAAACTGAGAATTAGGGGAATGTAGAATCATAGTAATAGAGAAGTTGAGAAATTGTGAATTATAGAAATGAGACAATATAGATTTGGAAATGTGGAGAAATGGAAAATGGAAAAATTCATAAATAAAGGAATTGAGGAATGGAAAAATGGATACGTGGAAAAATAGAACATTTGAGAAATGCAGAGGTGGCTAAACGAAGAAGATTAGGAATGCACTAATATAGAAATGGAGATGTGGAAAAATGGAGAATTAGAGAAATGAATCAAAATAGAATTAGAGAAGGGGAAAAATGGAGAAATGGAGTTTTAGAGAAATGTATGAGATGTATTCACTCTATTTCGTTTAAGGTGATAAAGAACTAGTAGTAGAATTTTTCCACACATCTCATATAACTGATCTATTGATAGTTCTAAATCCTGATTATATAAAAAAAATAAGTAATGTAGTCGAGTGTTATAGCAAAAAAAGGTTTGCTTTATCGACAATACCACCAACGATTTTGATATGGGAAGAGGCCTGGCCTTCCTTGAAATTCACATCTGCCCTGTGACCCAACGGCACTCGTGGCAATGTGGCCGAGTGGTTAACGGGTCAAGTTCACATGCTGTACTGACACAGTTCGACTCCTGCTTGGAGTGGTGATAAGAACCATGTGAAGTCGAAAATAAAGTGAACTCCAGTCGAGATAAGAACAACTTTCGGGAAGGTAAGGCTATGTGAAATTGAATCGAAACATCAGCTCTACTCATATCATTGTGGGAAAATTCTACTGTCAGTCCTTCATCATCTTACATTAAATAGGTTGAATACGTTTCATATAACAGATTTATTAATAGTCTGGAAACACTGCTTATATTAAAAAAATTAGTAGATAAATAGACTAGTGAAGAAATGGAGAAGTAGATAAATTGAGGAATGGA